GAGCAACAGCATTAGTCATTAGGAAACACAAATTAAAACCACAGCGAGTTCACACTGCGCACACCCCAGGATGGCTAAAATTACAAAGCCTGACTACCCCCAAACGTTGGCAAGGATCTGGAAGGGTCTGAGCTCACACAGGTTGCCGGGAAGGTGAGCTGAAGGCCGCCGGTGAGACAGGCCATGTCTGCTACAGTGATGGGGGGGGGGGTCGTCTGCACAGCCGGAGGGTCTGCCCTGGAAGCCACAGGCCTGGCTCGGGGGGCAGCCCTCTCCACAAGGCGGAAGTGAGGGCTCCAGTTTGCAAAATCTCCTGATTTTTGTGGGGTTTTTTGGAGACACTGGAAATCCTAAATTTTTCCTAAAACCTGTGTGTGGTTCAACACTGCCAGCCACTCTGGGTTCTTCTGAAAAGACATGTGATGCCAGCAGTGTCTGTGCAGAGTGGTGTTGGCCAGTTTACCACCGGGATTTACAAACAAAGTAAAACCAGCAGGTCAGAGATCCCCGCAGGTGCGTCCATGCCTAAGGCGGCGAACGGCCCGGCCACCTCGCCCCGCCCTCCGTTCCTCCCAGACCCGAGCCTGCTGGATATCACCTTGCCGAGTGGGTCCACCAATCTGCTCCGGCACCTCTTACATGATGCGTGAACCCACACAGGGTCCTTTGTGCGCCCCCATGCACCCCGCTCCCATGATCTTCCCAAGTGATGCAAAAGGGTGTTCTACAAACATGTGAAGACCAGGGCGCCTGGGTGGCTCAGTCCGTTAAGCGTCTGACTTCGGCTCAGATCATGATCTCACGGTTCGTGGGTTCGAGCTCTGCGTCGGGTTCTGTGCTGACAGCTCAGAGCCTGGAGCCGGCTTCAGGTTCAGTCTCTCCCTCTTTCTTTGACCCTCCCCTGCTCACCCTGTGTCTCTCTCTCTCAGAAATAAATAAATAAATAAGAAACACGTGAAGACATTCATGGTTGACGAGGAGAACAGCACTTGTAACTCCGCCAAAGGGGACGGCTACTTTTAGCTTTCCTGATAAGTCTGCATTCCCTCGTACAGTTAAATGTTGCTTAGATTTATAATAGAAAGCAATTAACAGACACATTCACCACCTTCAGCTCATGGCTGCCTTTGGAAGGCAATGTTTCTAAAGAAGCAGATGAAAGCCAGGCTTCAGAGATCATTGTGTGAGGCAATGCCTTTTATATCTTTTTAAAAATGATTACAGAGAAATTTGCTTTGCCAAAAAAGCCAACGCCTAGTACACTTGGGCTTTATTTTCCTGGCATCCCTCAGCCCCCTCATTTTTTTGCAATTAGGGAAATATTTGATGATGATAGCAGCCCACTTTGGGGCCAGGTTACCCCCTTTCCCTGCCCCGCCCTCCCCGGCCCTCCGATCCTTCCTGATTTCCCAAAATTGCCTCCCCATGGGGAAATCTAACCTCTGACCCCTGCAGCTTACTTTTACTGGCTGTGTGTTATCTTGATCCGAATTGCACTCATTCCAAATCCTCCCGGTGAGAAGTAGAGCCTATTTCAAGTCACGGCTGACGCCCAGCAACCCCCACATGGGACAGTGGACGGAACGGGACACAGGCTTTGGAAGCGACGAAACCCAGGTGTGAACCCCAGCCATGCCTCCTGCCGGCCGATTAACCCCCTGCAGCCTGTGAACCCTGTTTCCTCTCCCTGCAAAATGGAGAGAAGCGAGTTTATTCCAAAGGGCCGCGCTCCGGACTGAGAGGTTGCGCTTACAAAGTGCCTGAGGCATAGCAGCCGCTCACCCTAGAGTAGCGTCTTCCCCTGTCGCCTCGGAGCAGAAGGAAGGACCGTATTCCCAAGACCCCTCCCCGTGCACGTCCAGCCCCAGAGGCTGGGCCCCTCCCGGACCCTCACATCGCAGATGACGGACGGGCAGTCTGCTCTCACACCCCGGCCTCCCCGGGACTCCTCGGGCCCAGCTGTCCCTGAGCCACCTTGGCGCCTTGGTTGATTCTCTTTTCCAAGCCTGAGCCCCCAACAGAGATCTCTGTGAGCTCTCGACATCCTTTCCAAATGTTCCTGTTTGCACGATAGAGCCAGCATCAGTCAGGCCACGGCTCGCAACCAAGGACCTGACTAATATACTTGATATCAGTGGGGGGGAAATGTTTACACATTCTTTGTTCTCGGCCAAGCTGGCCACCCCCTCCTCCCCACAACCACATGGGATGCAACAGCCAACGGGCACGCCCTTGGCAAGGTCCCCATGAACTTGTCTTGTGAATTTACGACGGTCCAAACAGCCAGGCCTGGTCATCATTTGGCCATAAAATACGCGCTGGCAGAGATGGGCCGTGGAGGCGGGGCTGAACTCTGAAGGCACCTCCCTTCGGAGCATAGAGACAGAACCTAATTCTTCGAGAAGAATGGCCAGGAAAAGGCTTCCTTGGGAGGTTCCGAGCAGCGCACGCGTCTACGTGCTGACGACGGCATCTCAGGGGGTGAGACGCTCAGGAACCCTGAAGGACACGGTCTACTTGCATCGAGTCAGGCCTGTTGTGGTCCCAATGCCGGAGGCCACGAGGCTGGGGGGGGGGGGGACAGCATATGATTCTCATAGCGTTCTCCCCCCAGATGCAAAAGAAACCCAAGTCTAGTAGGTAAGACCATGGCCACTGGCAAAACAAGGAAATCTAAACACGTGGGACGCTCATGCAGGACACAGGTTTCTTCCTTGTTCACAGACACGTCACGGGCAGCTCCCTTGGGTGGCAGTCAAGGTCCCGCGGCCCCCGCCCCACCGCCGCACACGGAGCCAGCGGGAGACCAGGGGACGGCTGGTGTGTGGGAGGTTTGCAAGTCAGGACACCAGCCATCCCCCGGTTCCATCGGCCACGCCTCCCTGCCTGCCAGGGCCGGGACGTCACGCGCGGTCCCAGGGAGAAAGGACGGTGGTGGCCGATGGCACAGCCCTGACACCTGGAGAGCCAGGCTGGAACGAGCCAGAGCCCAGCAAGAAGCTGTTCCGGATGCGTCCTGAGCAGCACATCGCCCGATGGGACTGGGCTCTCAGCGGCGGCTTGTCCACTCCTGGGAGCTCAGTCCAGGACCACAGGGGACGTGTGGCCCCACGGTCAGTGTGCGGAGACATGAGAGCACTTGTTTAAGATGCTGAGCATCAGGGAGTCAGTGTGGCAGTGCCCACACTGAACACGCGGCCACCTTCCGGGCTGACCGTTGGCGCTCTGAGATCACAGGGCTCCTGGGCTCCTGTTATTTCCCGTGAGCCCAAAAAAATGCAAGCAGAACGGCCCCGCCAGCGGCTGTCCCCACAGCGCCCCTCACACCCTGCACTTGACGGCGGGAGGTCAACCCGACTGCTGCCTCCTGCTTCCCCTGGGAGGCCTGTTTGTCACCAGCTATTTTCTCCAAGTGTAGACAGGATGGGGGGGGGGGCACAGAGCCAAGGCCACCCAGCACATGCACGTGGCCCCCGGTCTCCAGGACCACCTAGCTCCCCTCTGAGTGCAAGGCTTACGCCCCGAGCTCAGCCCCGAGGTCTGGCAGATATGCCCGCCTGCCGAGCCTGGGCCACATCCTGATGGAATAACACCCTCTGTCGCTCGGCGAGGCGCCAGGCCTGCGCCATGCTGCCCGACACGGATCGGGGAGGGACAGTACCTCCTTCCCCCGGAGACCAGCAGGCTGGGAGCCGGGCGGAGGGGACGCGGGTCCTACGCGGCGCCTGCCGCGGTGCAGGGCGCCCCCTGGTGGGCAGTCCGGGCGCATCGCGGTTTCCCGGGCCCAAGGTCAGGCGTGGGACGTGCGCCCGCCCTTTGCAGAGACCGGTTTGTCCACAGAAAGGCGGCATTTCCTGCACGGAGGGGAGCCTCGGCCCGCACGGCCCCTTGCTGTCCTCACGTCGCCCAGCGCTCTGCCCACACGCCGCGGGCCCAGCAACTGCGGCCACCCTCCCCGGTTCCCCCCGCCCCGGGGTCCCCCGCCCCCGCGCGCCCCGCTCCACGTTCCCTCGGGACTTCTGCACGAGCTCACGCCCGGCCGGGCCGTTCTGCCCGCGGCCGCAGCTCGTTGGTCCTGAAACGTCCGCAGCGGCCCGTGTGTCCCTCCAGCAGCAGCCCCGGCCGGACAGGGACCGAGCCCCCCGCCGCTCAGCGCACGCGGGGGGCACCGGCGCCCCGGGCGCAGCGGGGCGGCGGGCGCGGGGCGGGCCGGGAGGTGCCCGACTGCAGCGGGGCCCGCGGGGGCCCTGAGCGCCGCGCCCGGTCGGCCTGCACCAGGCCCGCTCCCCGGGGGTCCCGCGTGGCTCAGCGGCAGGAGACCAGGGAAAGCCCAGCCTTGGCCTCCGCCGCCTGCCCTCCCTCCAGGCTTCAGGAGCCCATAACCTCTAGAATCTTGGGACTCCCTGCAGGGGGAGTGGGTGACGGGGCCCTGCAGCCCCTGGACCCCCCCCTCCAGCCAGCGGGGACCCAGCGGGGGCGGGGCTTCCGCAGGGAGCGCAGCCCTGGGGGGCGGGGGGTCCCCTGCGGGGCGGGGGGGGGTCCCCTCGCCCGAGGAGCCTCCAGGAGCCCGGCTCGCTTCGCTGCGTCTTAGTTTAGGTTTCCAACCGCCGCTCTGCCCAGACGCAGCCTCGAACCTGCGCGGAAGCGGTGCAGGATCGCCGAGCCGCTGCGCCCCTGCCCGCGTGGCCGCGACCTGCCCGCGGATCCCACGCGAACGGGCCCGCGCTCCGCCGGGACCCAGGAACCGGGACCCAGGAACCGGCACCCAGGAACCGGGACGCGGGTGCCGGTGGCGGGCGCGGCCCCGGCGGCCCCGCACCTGCTGCTGCGGCGCGTGCCCCCCTAACTTCCCGGCCGCGTCGCGGTCCCTGGTACCCGCGCCCGCTTCCAGAGGGAGGGGCGATGGCTGGTACCCGCGGCCGGTTCGCGCGGAGTCTCCCCCGCGAAGCGCGGCCGCAAGCGTGGAGCGCGAGCGCCCCCCTGTGGCGGGAGGGGCTCCCAGCAAATGCCGGGCGACGCGGAGCTGCCCCCCAGCGTTCGAACTCCCGCGGCCCAGAGGGCGGGCCCCACACCCCGGGGACCTGGGTGAGTGGTAGCGGGACAGTCATCCCCGGGGGCAGGAACCTTCTGCGGGGCTCACCCGCCGTCACTGAGCGTGGGGAACGGGGCCTGACGTTTTAAACGGATGTGTGAAAACAGGTAAGAAAGGGTAGTGAAGCCACCTCCACGGCAGGGGTGAGGGCACACCCGCGTGGGCAGAGTCAGGGAAGCTGGGGGCAGGCCCCCACCCCGGAGCAAGGCCAGCTGAAGGGGGCCCCCAGATGCCCGTCCCGGTCCCCAGCACCTCCTGGAGCAAAGGGGCTTTGCAGGTGTGGCTAAGTTAAACCACCTGGAGACAGGGTGGGGGTCCTGGCCCGTGGGCTGAGCCCAGGGCCTCCCTGGGACGGTAAGAGGAAGGGGGCCACCTGACCGGAGCGGGGGGGGGGGGAGGGCTGGGGGGGGCGCCTCTAGCAGCTGGATGATGCGGGGAAGGATTAGCCCCCGAAGCCCCCAGAAGGCATAGCCTGACGACACTCTTCACTTCCCACGCCCAGAACTGTAAGAGAATAAACTTGTCTGAGGCCACTTTTTAAAAAAGAGAGAGAGGGAAAAACCAAACAAACAGGAAGGAGGTTGCAGGGAGGAGGCGCAGAACAGGAAGAGCAAAGACCCTGGGGTCTGCAGGGGGCCTGCGGGCCTGAGGGGCGGCGCTGGGGAGGGAGGCACAGACCCTGCGACCCCTGGAAGCCTGGGTTTCATTCTAGAAGGCCTCAAGTATTGTAGTTATGTCAGTAACTGAGACTGTTAGAAAGATGGCCCACGACGTGTTGGCTCCGTTTAACAGACCCGTGTGAGCCCAGGGACACCCTGTGGGGCTGAGCCGGCGGTTAGCGGACAGGAGAGCCACGCCCCGTGTGCTCTGGTTACCCGGCCCGGCCAGGACACAGCCACCGGGCCACGAGGCCGATCGTCCGATGAAAGAAGCACTTCATCATCTCGGGCGAAAGAGACTTATCTTGGTGATTTTCCAAACTCGACTGATGGGAAGGTAATTCAGCAGCACTTTTTTAAAATTACAGATTGCCAGGGGCACCTGGGGGCTCAGTCGGTTAAGCGTCCGACTTTGGCTCAGGTCATGATCTCACGGTTCGTGGGTTTGAGCCCCGTGTCGGGCTCTGTGCTGACAGCTCAGAGCCTGGAGCCTGTTTCGGATTCTGTGTCTCCCTCTCTCTCTGACCCTCCCCTGCTCACGCTGTCTCTCTCTCTCTCTCTCTCAGAAATAAATAAAACATTAAAAAAATAAAATAAAATAAAATAAAATTACAGATTGCCAGCCCGGCTCCCCGAAGACACTGGCCTACTAAGGACCCGGTAGATCTGGGGATGTTTACATCCAGTAGACACCCTGCATGACCCGAAATAGAAAATCTGAGCCGACCAGTCACGAGAAAGGTTACTAATTGCACCCGTCATCCAAAGCCTCCCAACACAGAAAAGCCCAGAACCTGCAGGCTTCACTGGCGATTTCTATCAAACACGTAACAAGGAATTAACACTGATCCTTCTCAAACTCTTCCAAAAAAATACAAGAGGGAACACCTTCCAAAGTCCTTTTCCAAGGCCGCTGTTACCTTGATTTCAAAGCCAGACAAGGGCGTCACAAGAAAATTAAAATCCTAGGCCAATACCCCCAATGGACATGGATGCAAAATTCCTCCACAAAATGCCTGCAAACATTTCAACAGTGCATGTTAAAGGCACGATAAAGTGGAATTTATTCCTGGGGGTGGGATGCGCCATATCCACAAAGGAAGGATAAAAATCATAGGATCATCTCAGTAGATTCAGGAAAAGCATTTGACAAAATTCACCATGCTTTCATGATAAAAGGTCTCAACAGAGGGGGCCGTGGGGGCAGCGTGACTGCCGTGGACGACAAGCCCCAGACAGTTCTTCCTGTGGCTGCTTTGCCGACAGGTTCCATCAGGGACGGTGTAGGATTTTGCCAGATGCTCATCAGGATTCTATTGGGATGATCGCACGGCGTGGCCTGTGATATGCTTAACTGCACTGATTAATTTTAATGCTAACTATCTTGCGTTTCTTGAATCCCTCCTTGGTCATGAAGAGCCATCCCGTCTATGTCTCACTGGATTTGATTCGCTGAAACGTTAAGAATCTTTGCATAAATGTTTATGAGTGATCATGATCGCTGTTATCCTTCCTTAAAACAGTATCTGTGTCTGGTGTTGGTACCAAGGTAATGCTGGCCTCAGATGGGTGGGGAAGTAGTCCCTCCTCCTCAGAGGCCTGAAATTGGTATAGAATCTTCACTATTCCTTATTCAGATCTTTGTTAGAATCTGCCACAGAAGCGTTCTGAGCCTACAGTTCTCTTGGTGAGGATTTTTAACGTATTTTCAATATCTTTAGTGTATAACAATGTGTCTTTAATAGACATGAGGAGGGGCGCCTCGGTGGCTCGGTCAGTTACGTATCTGACTCGATTTTGGCTCAGGTCATGATCTCGAGGCTCATGGGATTAAGGCTCGTGCTGTCAGTGAGGAGCCTGCTTGGGATTCTGTGTCTCCCTCGCTCTCTGCCCATCCCCTGTTCATGCTGTCTCAATCTCTCTCTCTTTCTCTCTCAAAATAAACATTTAAAAAATAGACACGGGGCTGCTAAAGTAATGCTTGTGTGCCAGAGTGACCTACAGTAGTTTGTCATCTACATTGTTGGGTTTAACAGCACATTTTTATGTCATTAGCCCTACAGTATCTTAATTTCCCTACCATTCCTAACACCGTGCCTTGTTTTTAACCCTGATTAGAGGTTTATCAATTTTATTGATCCTCTCAAAGAACCGGCTTTTTCTTTCCTTGGGTTTTTCCTATTACCTGTTTTTCTCTTTTGTTGAATTGGTCTGACATTTACTCACTTTCTCTCTCCTGCTCACAGTGAAGCTTCATTGGCTCCCTTGTTAAGAATTTCTTAAGGAAGGGGCACCTGGGTGGCTTAGTCGGTTAAGCGTCCGACTTTCACTTAGGTCATGATCTCGCGGTTCGTGGGTTCGAGCCCCGCATCGGGCTCTGTGCTGACTGCCAGCTCGGAGCCTGGAGCCTGTTTCAGTCTGTGTTTCCCTCTCTCTCTGACTCTCCCCTGCTCACGCTGTCTCTCTCTCTCCTAGAAATAAATTTAAAAAAAAAAAGAATTTTTCAAGGTGAAAGCTGAGGTCATTGATCAGAGACTTTTTTCTACTCAACTATCGGTGTTTAGTGCTTTAACTGTCCTTCTCGTAAACAGAATGCTACAAATTCCCTCACAGACCTGCTTCCGGGGCATCTGACAAGTTCTGAGATGCTGTTTCTATTCTCATTCCGTTCAAAATACTAATTTCTGTTGTGATTTTTTTTTTTTTGACTCTTGGGTAGAAGTGTGTTATTTAGTCTCCAAATACTTGGGCATTTGGCTGAGATTTTTCTCTTATTGGTTTCCAATTTCTCATTCCCTGTGGTTAAGGAACATATTTTGTATGAAGTCCTTTTAAATTTACAAAGACTTGTTTTATGTCCGGAATGTGGTTTCTCTTGGTGCATGTGTGCACTTGGAAAGGCTGTGTGTTCTACTCTTGTTGGATAGAATGTTCTAGAAGTCTCAGCCGGCTCAGTTTGGGTGATGACGTGCTCTGTATCTTCTCTTGTTCTGTCCATTACTGAGAAGGTGAGTTAACCTGACCGTAATTGTGGATTTTTCTACCCCTCCTTATACATCTATCAGATTTGCTTCATGTACTTTGATGGTCTTTTGTCAGGTGTGTGAAGGCTTATGATGGTTGAGACCTCTTGATAAATTGATTCCCTTTATAATTATAAAATGATCATCTTCATCCTGGTTTCTTTGCTAAAAAGCTTTTCCACTGATAGAAATACAGCTTCCTTTTGATTAGTGTTAGCATGGTAAATCTCTTTGCATCCTTTTAAGTTATTTGTGACTGTAGTTACAGTGGGTTTCCCAGGGAAGTCACACGTGGCACGGTGACTACCATTGACTGCACTGTACTATACACTTGACAGTCGCTAAGAGAGAGTGCCTGGCTGGCTCAGTCGGTTGAGTGTCCAGCTCTTGGTTTCAGCTCAGGTCACGATCTCACGGCTCACGGGATTGAGCCCTACATCGGACTCTGCGCCAGCGGCACAGGGCCTGCTTGGGATTCTCTCTCCCTCCCTCTCTCTCTTTGCCCCTCACCCACTCACTCACGCTCTCACTCTCAGGATAAATAAACTTAAAAAAGAAAGTTGCTAAAAGAGTAGATCTCAGAAGTTCTCATCACTAAAAAAATAATTGCAGCTACGTGTGGTGACAGGTGACAGACTTCTTGTGATGATCATTGCAACAATATACACAAAATCTCAAAGCATTATGTGGTTCATCTGAAACTAATAAAATGTGTATGTCGATTATAGCTCAATTTTTAAATTAAAAAAGTGGGTTTCCTATAGGCGGGATATAAGATTGCACAATTTGTCAATCTCTGCCTTTTAATTGGGTGTTTCTACCATTTACATTAGAGTGATTATGAGTATGGTTAGACTTAAATCTACTATCTTGACATTTTGTATTTGTCCCATCTCTTCTTTTAAACTTTTTCCTTCTTCTACTTTCTATCGAGTATTTTTAGTGATCTTATTTTACCTCCATTATGTACTTATTGGGTCCCTGTCTCCCAGTAGCTGCATTAGAGTATGGGGTGTATAACCCAACATGTCACAGTCTGTCTTCAAGTGACCCTACCTCACACGGGGTATAATATAAAAACCTTGTAACAGTGTACTCACTCCATTCCACCCTTGCTGGCCTTTATGCAATTGTCACGGTACATTTTACCTGTGCATATGTTATAAACCTCACATTACATTGGCATTAATTTTTCTTTAAACAACCAATTATGTTACAGGGGCACCTGGGTGGCTCGGTCTCTAATGCATCTGACTTCGGCTCAGGTCATGATCTCGCAGTTAGTGAGTCAAGCCCCGCGTGGGGCTCTGT